TCTGCAATTTATCAGTACCTTCACCATCATCATCCATACCATCATCATCATCATCATCACTAATATTTATATGGCACTTTAAGGTTTGCAAAGTGATTTACAACTATTATCTCATTTGAGCCTTACAATAACCCTGGGAAGTAATATTATTATCCCCATTTTGCAGATGAGGAAAATGAGGCAGACAGAGGTCAAGTGACTTGCCCAGGGTCACACAACTTGTAAGTGTCTGAGGCAGGATTTGAACTCAGGTCTTTCCTAACTCCAGACCCTATCTACCACCTAGATGCTTAAAGTTGCCTAAAATGTGATCTGCAGGACTGAATACAATACTCCAGATGGAATCTAACTAGGAAAGAGTATAAAACACGTATCTCTGCCCTTGTTTTGGCTACTGCCCTTGTTTTGGATACTACATTAGCTTTTTCACTGCCATTTCAAATTGCTGGCTTACATTAGGCTTGTAGACCCCAAGATCTTTTTCAGATGATCTGCTGTCTGGTCATGTCTCTCTCATTCAATACTTATGAAATTAATTGTTTAAGCCCAACCACAAGGTCATATGTTTATTTCTACTAAATTCCATCTTAATAGAGGAAACAGAAGCTCAGAGATGTAAAGTGATTGCCTAAGCTCCTACACCAAGTTAGTGACATGGCCAGCAAATGTCTCCCAACTCTTCACTGTGCTGTACTGCTTCTTTTATTATGTAATATTGTATAAATAATATTAATCTCTCATTCCCAGGTAGTTCTCTGCTCCTATCCAAGCATCCAGTCACTGTGCTCAAAATTCCTGCCACTAGTGAGTCATGGTGCCTTGGGGCTGCAAGAAATTTAGAGAATTTCTCCAAGAGTTCTGCTACCTGGCACAGGTAACATTTTAACCTATGAACAGGCATTAGGTCAGATTAGCTGGCTGTCACTCAGCATTCATTCCCAGAATTACAGACTGTCTGAGCCAGAAGGAAGCCCAGAGGGCCATCTAGTCCAAACCATCCTCTCCAGGAACCCCTTCTACCACATTACTGATAAGTGACCATCCAGCCTCTACTTAAATACCTCCATTGAGGGAGGAGACTTCACTATCTTCCAAAGCAGTCCATTCTACTTTTAGAGGGCTCTAATCACTAGGAAGAATTTCTTCCCTTTCCTTTTTTTTCTTTCTTTTTTCCTTCCTTTCCTCCTTTCCTTTTTCTTTCTTTTCTTCCTTCTTTTCCTTTTTTCTTTCTTCCTTCCTTTTTCTTTTCCTTTTTTCTTTCTTTTTTCCTTCCTTTCTTCCTTTTTCTTCCTCTCTTTTTCTTCTTAAACATCTCCATTGAGGGGCACTCCACTATCTCCTGAAGCAATTGGTCCATTCCATTTTCTGACAGTTCTAATTACTAGAAGAAAGTTTATTCATTAATTCATTCTTTCAGGTCACTTTTTTATCTTTGATTTTTTTTTTATTTCTGTATTACAGATATTATAGATTCAGTATTTAGGGTTAGCAGAGAATTTGTGATAAGGTCCCTATTGGCCCTAATATTAGGGAATGATCTTAGCCAAAAGACTGAGAATTGATCTCAACCAACATTTATACCTAGTGTGTATGGAGAGCAATGTGCTAGGCACTAGAGGACATACAAGTTTAGATAGGACATGATCTCTGCTTTCATGGAACTTATGGCAAAGCAAGGGGTTAAAAAATATGCAAAAATCTCTATGAACACAATTACAAAATACTTTTCATGCAAATAAAATCAGATCTAAATAATTGGAAAAACATCAGTTGCTCATGGGTAGGCCAAGCTAATATAATAAAAGTGACAATTCTACCTAAGCTAATTTACTTATTCAGTGCCATACCAAACAAACTACCAAAAAAACATTTTATAGGGTTAGAAAAAATAATAACAAGATTCATTTGGAAGAGCAAAAAGTCCAGAATATCAAGAGAACTAATGAAAAGAAATGCAGGGGAAGGTGGCCTAGCCATTCCAGATCTTAAATTGTATTATAAAGCAGCAATCATCAAAACCGTGGATCAATGGAATAGGTTAAATATGCAAGACACAGCAGTCAATGACTATAGTAATCTATTATGTGATAAACCCAAAGACCCCAGCTTCTGGGATAAGAACCCACTCTTTGAAAAAAACTGCTGGGAAAACTGGAAAAGAGTATGGCAGAAACTAGGCATAGACCAAAATCTCACACCATATACCAAAATAAAGTCAAAATGGGTTCATGATTTAGATATAAAGGCTGATACTATAAGCAAACTGGGAGAGCAAGGAATAGTTTACCTGTCAGATCTATGGAGAACAGAAGAATTCATGACCAAACAGGAGATAGAGAACATTACGAAAAGCAAAATAGATAATTTTGATTACATTAAATTGAAAAGTTTTTGCACAAACAAAGCCAATGCAACTAAGATTAGAAGGAAGGTAGAAAATTGGGAAAGAATTTTTACAACCAGTCTCTCTGATAAGGGCCTCATTTGTAAAATACATAGAGAATTAAGTCAAATTTATAAGAATACAAGCCATTCCCCAACTGATAAATGGTCAAAGGATATGAACAGACAGTTCTCAGATGAAGAAATTAAAGCCATCTATAGTCATATGAAAAAATGCTCTAAATCACTATTGATTAGAGAAATGCAAATCAAAACAACTCTGAGGTACCACATCACACCTATCAGAATGGCCAACATGACAAAACAGGAAAATGATAAATGTTGGAGAAGATGTGGGAAAATTGGAACACTAATGCATTGTTGGTGGAGTTGTGAAATGATCCAACCATTTTGGAGAGCAATTTGGAACTATGCCCAAAGGGCTATAAAAATGTGCATCCCCTTTGACCCAGCAATAGCACTTCTAGAGCTATATCCCAAAGAGATCACACAAACGGGAAAAGGACCTACATGTACAAAAATATTCATAGCAGCTCTTATTGTGGTGGCAAAGAATTGGAAATTGAGAGGATGCCCATCAACTAGGGAATGGCTGAGCAAGTTGTGGTATATGAATGTGATGGAATACTATTGTGCTATAAGAAATGATGAACAGGCTGACTTCAGAAAAACCTGGAAAAACTTGTATGGTCTAACGCTGAGTGAAGTGAGAAGAATCAGGAGAACGTCGTACACAATAACAGCCACTTTGTGTGATGACTAATATTGATAAACTTAAACCTTCATGGCAATACAAGGATCTAAGACATCTCTAGAGGCCTTGTGATGGAAAATGTTATCCACATCCAAAGAAAGAACTATGGAAGCCGAATTGCTAATTTTTATCTCTTCTGTTGAGTTTTGTTTCCTCTTTCTGATGGTTCCTCCTATTGGTTTTAATTTCTACTTACAACATCACTAATGTTAAAATGTTTCATACGAATGTAAATGTATAGCCTATATCAGATTATGTGTCGCCTTGGGGAGGGTGGTGGGGAGGAAAGGGGAGAAAAATTTTAAACTCAAAAGCATATGGAAGTGATTACTGATAAATCAAAATAAATTAATTTTTAAAAATATGCAAAAATCATAGGATATATATTTGGAAGGGAGTTGAGAGAGTATCCTTTTCATTTTACAAATGAGTAAACTGAGGTCTAGAGAAGGAAAGTGACTTGCCCATACCACACTTACAGTATTGGAGTGGGGTAACCATGGTACAAAATATTATAAATGTATTAGTTATTGTAATTATTTGTTTATTGTATTTCCCCTGCCAGACTATAAATTCCATGACTACAAGAGCAGTCATTTTTTAATTTTAATATCCTGAAATACTAATCACAGAGTTCTGGATACAGTAGGTACTTAACAGATTTTGGTGGAATTTAATTGAATTATAGACATATAAAATAAAAGGCTGTTTGAGGTCTAGAGGACCTCAGGAGAATCAGGGAAGCTTTCTGGAATGGGTGACATTTGCACCGGCCTTTTAGAAATTTATCAAGTAAAGAGGAGGTAAGACATTCTAGGCATGGAAAACATCATGAGCAAAGATTTAGAGGCAAGGACTTTCAGTCAAGCCACCAAGAGTATACCAGCTTGTGGCCATGTCAGCTTTGACAGGAGAGTCAATTATGTGATCTCGGGCAAACCCATTCCCTCCTATTGGTCCTGCAAGCTCCAGTCTCCACCTCTCCCAAAAGCCTCCCTCAGCACCCCCATTTATGACCATCTCCTTCTCCTCTGATATTTTATAACCATTGGACTCTGGAGCATACCAATTGTACTGCCCATCCCCAAACCCTGTTCCCCTGATTTCCAACCATAACCACAGCCCTCAAGTCTAGGACTTTCTTGGTGCCTGTTTCCGATCTAATATTAGAAGTCTAGGAGGAAGAAGTGCTCTTGCTCAGTACACGCCTCTTCTGTAGCCCTTAAATCCACCTCAGAGGCCCTTCTGGCCTTCCCTACCCTGTTTGAAGTAGTGAGACTAAGGTTAGGATTTTCTCTTTTGGTTAGAGACACAGCCCAAGACTAGAACAGGTTATAGCTTTAAAGCCAAAAGTGATTCAACCTCATTTTATAGATGAGGAAACTCAATGCCTGAAGAGATTAAGTGGCTTGCCCATAAAGGCATGTCACAAAGGCATTTTTAAAAATAGATTTCATTTTATTTTTTCAATGAATAAAATTCTCTTGTCTCTCACACCCACCTCCCCCTTCCCACCTCAGAAAAGGAAGGGGGGAAAAAACCTCCTTAAAACTATTATCCCTAATTGGGCAAAATGCCTACTTTGGTCATGGTCCAAAATGTCTCATTGTTCATATTAAGCCCCTCACTTCTATCAAGAGGTAAACAACATTCTTCATCCTAGTCCTTTGGGATCAAGGTTGGTTACTACATTGACTAAGAACATGATCTTGGTGAGATATGTATCTTTGCATCCCCAGTAGTACTCAGCACAAAGTAGGGCACTAAGAGACATTTCTTGAAACTAAAAAAAGATTGGAATAGAAAGAAGGCTAGTGAGATGGAGAAACTCAGGGACAAAATATGAGATTTGTCTGAGGGCAGATTTATTCTCTCTAGAGATCAATTAAGGCCATTTTATCTGAGTGCTGGCTGGTACCAACCAAACGTACATATCGCCATATCTTGTCCTCTTCCACAGCATTTATAGGCTCCATAGATGTAGACAGAATGTTGATTTCCTTCTGTTTTGATGCTTATGCTCCTGCCCCTGATCTCCTCCATTATCCGAGAGCTCCTAGAGTCAATAAGGGGCTCAGAAGACTCCCGTCAACTGGAAAACAGTGATGCTGCTGCCGCGAAACATGGGGCCTTTGGCCTCAGCCTTTTCCTTCTACCTTGGTTTCTGCCGCAGCAGCTTCTGCTTCTGCCTCTGTCCTGAACTCTCAGCGTTCTCTTCCTGCTCTTCGGGGGCAGCCAAATTCTTGCTCAGTCGACCCTGCTTCCTCCTGAAGGTAGCCCGTCTTCACAGGGCAGTGCAAGTATGGAAATGGTTTGCTGTCCCAGGGGTATCAGAACAAAGAGAGTTGAGGAGGCAGCGGTATACTTTTCCCCTCCCCCCATACACACACTCTACCCTTATAATCCTAACTCTCTGTCCACTTGGCGCAAAAACAGGGCTTGAGTATTCTTCCCTCTTCCTGTGGATGAATCATGCATGCATAGATTCAAACACAGATGGCTAGAGCTGAAAGGAACTTTAGAAAGCACAAAATCCAACCCATTTATTCTACGATTGAAAAACTGAAGTCCCAAGAGGAAAAGTGTCTCAGGGTAAGAGCGCAGGGCCAGTACTGGAAGAACCCAGGTCTTCCGATTTCCACTCTTCCCCTGAGAGTCGGTCTCTAAGACCCTTAGACTCATACTCTAGTCTAAGACTTAGATTAACTTCTCTTCTGTCCAGCCTATCTCACGACTCTGGCCCAAATAGAGAGAGTTTTTCCTGTGGTGCCCTCCGCTTGTCTTCCCCGTAACAGAACCTCATATAGTGAGCTTCCTCCCACGCCCTCCAATGAGTGACGAAGAGAATGAGCAAGTAAGAGCGCTGAATTTGGAGACCAAGACAGACTTCGTGTCAAATCCCAACACCACTTATTACTTCTATGAACTTGGTCACCTCTTTAGGTCTCGATTTCACACAGGATTGTCACAATTTTCTCTCCATCTCCATCCCGCCCCCCTTTTTCTTTCCCTGTGACACAAGCCATTTTCTTTTTTACCGATAACGGAACAGATCCAGAAAGCAGAAAGGACTTTGCCCAAGGTTACACAGTAAGAAGCACAACAGGGTTTGAACATGGGTCTTGTGGGTCTTCCGACCCCAGATCTAAGTGTCTTTTCCACTGCAGTTTCCTCATTTGTAAAATAAGGGGGTTGGACTGCATGTGTTCCATCTCTAAATCTCAGACTCCGATTTTAAGACTTGCCGTATTTCTAAAGCTAGGGAGAAAGCCTGGTTGGATCCCCCGAGGATTTTTTTCCAGCTTAGAAAAAAAAAAAAGGAACAAAAAGGAGCAAAATGAGACCAGAACCATGATGTCACAAAAAGAGAACTGCGCCCCAGCATTTCAGGACAGCCTCCAAGGAACCCGCTGTCCTTGACGATGGGAGGTGGCTGACCAATTGTGATCCTCTGGGAATGTAGGAACCGCTGTTTGGGTCCACCTCCGCGGGGGCAGGCGGTTTCTTCCCTAGGGGAGTTCACCCGAGCCAACTGAGTCACGCCCGAGCGGATTTTCCGCGGTTGCAGCCAAGGGGTGGGGCAAGGGGCGGGAGCCCCAAGGCCGGGAGCCCAGCTGGCTTTCTATAAGTGGGACCGCAGGGAGCTGACCTGGTCACATACGGCTGGAGCAGAGGCAGAGAGCCTCTCATCTCTCGCTCCCCAGACTGGAACAAGACGCGCAGACACAGTGAGTGCCCTTTCCCCTAGGCGCGCAGCTGGTTCCCTTTTTCGTTACATGTAGCTGCTACCAGACCTAACTCTTGGCTGGTCACCAGGACTCTTCTATCAGCCCAAAGAAATTTCCCTTTCTACCCCTTTCCGAGTCTCCACCCCAGGAGCAAGTGCAAGATTCTTGAGGACAGGGAGAGTCCCAGGCTGGGCATAGGGAGTCCTGGATTTCAATCCCATTCCTGCTTCGCCCGGCCGGTTTACAAGTCAGTATCCTCCTGCCTTCATTTCTACCTTGACTTCACTTTGGTACTTCCACGATCAAAAGAGGGGGATGGGTACCTGCTCTGGTGACTAGGAAGAGGGATAAGGCAGTTCAGACGAGAGGGGTCTAAAAATTCTTTGGTGGACTTAGGTAAAACCCGTTTCTATTGGTGGAGGGAGACGAAACTGAGGTTTCTTCTGTTCCTGAAAAATCTCTACTCTGTCCCCTGCCAGACAGGGCAGGACTGTAATATGATATTGTTTGCAAAACCGATTAAGCGTCTTCTGGAAAAGGGCACACTTTGATTCAGCTGAAAATGGGGTGGGCTGAGGAACCCGGAGCTAGAGGAACCTGCTGCCCCTGTCCTCCAGTCTTTTTGGATCTCAGAGCCTCTTGCCTAACTTAGGAGATAGAGCTTGGGGGTGCAGGGTAGGCTATTACCAAATACCTTCAGAGCCAGCCTCAGTTTGAAAGAATTCATTCCTAAAGGCTTTGGAGATTATATAGTGTAGTCTAACCCCTTCAATTTACAGAGGAGGAAACTGAGGCACAGAGCGGGTAAATGACTTGTACCAGGTCACACAGCTAATAAATACCATAGCCAAAATTCGAACCCAGGTCCCCTGGCTCCAAATCATCCTTCCTTCTGCTACCATCATTCTAGGGGAAATCTCCAATCCCTCAGGCTATCACTTCTGGTACAGGTAACCTTTTCCTTTTTCCACAGCAGCAGATGCCTATAGCATTAGAAAACCACGGCTACAAAGGGAGGTGAGCAGAGAGCAGTGCAGAGCAGTGAGTGGGGAAGTTTTGTGGGACAGGGAGAGATATTGATTCAATAAAGGAAGAATTAATCATCAGAGCTGTCCAGCAGTGTATTCAGCTGCCTCCCATGATAGAGAATTCCCCATTACTAGAGGTATTCAAGGGAGAAGGGGTAGAGAATAGGGGTTGGATGACCCAACTTCTAAGTTATCTATGGTCAGGGAATCTATAAAGGAAATTCTTGTACTGGGAGGACAGAGGAGGAAAGGATTTGAGATTTCCAAGTTCCCTTCTAAAATACCGAGGTTTTGTGACAAGAGCTTGAGAAGGGAGATATCAATATGGATTGATCAAAGAAGGTTTCCAGGAAAGAAGGAAAGGCATGACCTTCACCTTAAAGGCTAAACAGGATTTGAGGCAGGCAGAGAGGAAGTAAATAGGGCCACAGGTATTCTTTTCAATCTATCTGTATTTATTAAACTTCTACTCTGAAAAGCCCTGGCAGTGTGGTATCCTGGAGCAAAGCCTAAGATTTGTAGTCAGAGGGACATGGGTTCAAATTCTAGTTCTGCCACTTATAATATTTCAGTGTGACCTTGAGCAAGTTGCTTAACTTCTCTGGGCCTCAGTTTCCTTGTCTGTAACAAGATGGGCTAGAAGCTAGATGATCTCTAAGGTGCCTTTTAGTTTTAAGCATATGATCCCAAACAACCCACTGTTCTGGGCACTAAGGGAGGTATAAAGTTTTGATAAGCTCCAGTTTCTTCTCTGATGGAGCTCACAATCTAGTGGGGGATAAGACGCCTATACAGGTAACTGTAAAAATACACACTATTACATTTTAAGTACGTTTGAAACTTACAAACCAAGTGATACATGGAATGTGTCGTATATATCCTCCTGTTGGAAGAGCTCCCTGGAAGCTTCCTGCAGGAGGAGGTATTTAAGTTGGCTTGGGCAGCTAGGTGGTGAAGTGGATAGAGTGCCAGACCTGGAGTAAGGGAGACTCATCTTACCATCTGTGTGACCCTAGGCAAGTCACTTAACCCCTATTTGCCTCAGTTCCTCATCTGTAAAATAGGGATACGCTGGAGAAGGAAATGGCAAACCACTCTATTTGGCAAACCGAAATACACTCCAGTATCTTTGCCAATGTAGAGTCGGATATGAGTGAATGACTGAACGGTCACAAAGTCCAACAAGCAAAGACAGAGAGGTAAGATGTTCCAGAAATAGGACACTGTGAGAACTTACAGACACAGTACAAGAGTAGCACATTCACGGAACAGAGTCTTCTAATATAGCTGAAACATGGAGGCAAAGAGGCATAAAGGGGCAAAGTTTTTAAGAGTGGTGTCAGATTATGGAGGGCCCTGGATTCCAGGCAGAGAAGTTTGAGGAGTATTGAAGATCCTGGAGCAGTTGTGACCAGATCTAGGTACTAAGAAAGATGTCTGTTCATCATATGAAGGATGTATTTGAGGTTGGAAAGAGAGGCAGAGATAAAGAACCTTTAGCAAGGTGCTGAGTTTCCCATTAGGCAGTTGCTATAGAGTAGATTCCTACTCAGATCCTTAGGGTTGAGATAGATGACCCCTGAGGTCCTTTCCAACTCTTAAAGATTACTCTAGCAGTATCTGAGGTCAGGGATGTGTTGGAGGGAATTAGGAAGTTTGTATCCATTCAGTTTGGAGGCAATGAAGGCCCAGGCAAGGATCCCCATGATTTTTTTCCTTGCCTGTCTGGAAGAGACAGATACTCTGGCCTGTACATGTCAAATTAGACTTTTCCGGCCCTTCATGGCCTGCCCAGGATGTAGGGAATAGGTCTTGCTTGTCAAACACTGTACTTCCAACAAACCAGCTCCAGCCTTAGGAGGGGTTGGCTGATTGATATCAGAGGAGGATATATTCTGGCAAATGCTCCACACAGAAAGCAGATTTGCTAATAACTTAAATGAAAGGCGAGGTAGGAAGTAATAGTTTCTACACCTGTGGCCTATCTTGTATTTCCCCCAACCTCCACCCTGAGTGGTCTGGGGTCTGGGACTGAATAGAATAAACCTTTGATCTTTTGGGAACTTTCTACAACGGAAAGAAGACAGAACCAAAATCAGTCCCCCTGGAGCCATGTTCTGCAATTGCTCTGATGTGTGGTCTCGAGGGAGCCCCTTGCCCTCTCTGGGTGTAAATGTTTCTTCTGTAAAATGAAGTGGGCTTGTAAAGACAAACTCTAAAATTCCCCTTTGATATTTTCATCTGTAAAATGGAAAAGAGATCAAAGTGTTAATCTTCCATTTCCTACCCATAAAAGAGGAAGAATATTCCTTGTACATAGACCTACTTCCCACAGCTTTTGTTATGAAAATGCTATACAAATATGAGCTTCCTTTTCTCTTCTTTCTTCATCATTGTTGCATGATTCCCTTAGTTCTCGATATGTTGGAAAATGGTTTCTTTGGGGGTATGTTCTGGCTTCTATATAAGTATATATATATATATCACATTATATATTATATTATACATTATATACAATATATATAAATATGTATAGCACATTAAGGTTTACAAAGCAGTTTACAGATATTCTTTCATTTGCACCTCCCAACAATCCTGAGAATACTCTTATTATTCTCATCTTATAGATGAAGAAATTGAGTCAGACAGAAGTTAAATGACACAGCTAGTGAGTAATCTGAGGTTAGATCTGAACTAAGGTGTTCATGACCCTAAGTCCATTGCTCTATAGATGAATCTGTGCGAGGAATAAGGTTGAAGATGGGCAAGGAGATACGAGGGCTAGAAACAGCAAAGGCACAACCACAAGTGGTGTGTTGGTAGATGGAGGACTGGGGTTTTGTCTTCTGTTGGGAGTGACAAACCACTACAGTATCTTTGACAGGAAAACCCCAAATGGGGTCACAAAGAGTTAGACATAACTGAAACGACTGAACAACAACAACTTCAGGAATGACCTTTCAATCAATCCTAAATCCCCATCATTATACAGTCACTGAATCCATATTTCTCTATCTTTCTATAAAAACAGTATGATAGATTTTGTCCAATGCTTTTCTAATAAAATCTAGGTAAGCAGAAAGGACTAAATCTGTGGTTTCATTCATATGGGGAACTGCCAGGTGAGGAAATCCCGTCTACCAATGCAGGTCAGTACTTTCTCTGCTACTTATGGTCTTCGAAATTTGCTAGAGCAGTGTTATCAAACTCAAATAGAAACAAGGGTCACGAAACCTGAGGGACACATATTGACCTAGAGAACTACACAATTACATTATCTGTGCTCTACTGTAGTTTTATTTATTTTGTTAAATATTTCCCAATTACATTTTAATCTAGTTGAAGAAGCACTGGGAGTATGGCTGGTGGCACTGCAAATCTTGGGCCCCTTGTTTGACACCTGTAGCCTAGAGCACTGACATGGTGAAATGATTTGTCCAGGATCACATAGCTATTATGCGTCAGATAGGACTTGAACCCAGATCTTCATAGCTTCAAACCTCAACTCTCAGTGTTGAGACACACACACACACACACACACACACACACACACACACATACTCTCTCTCTCTCTCTCTAGGTAATCCTTGATCTACCTGTCCAGTAACCCTGGCATTAAGGAAATGAGGTTAATCCGCTTTGATGAAACCATGTTGGCCCTGCTTCCTTTTCCAACCAACCCTTAATTTATTTTAATTAATCTGTTGTTGTTCAGTCATTTCAGTCACGTCCTACTCTTCACCACCCCATTTGGGGTTTTCTTGGCAAAGACACTGCAGTGGTTTGCCATTTCCTTCTCTAGCTCATTTTACAGATAAGAAGCTGAGGCAAACAGGGTTAAATGACTTGCCCAGGGTCCACAGCTAGTAAATGTCTAAGGCCAGATATGAACTCAGGTCTTTCTGACTTCATGCCCAGCACTGTGTCACCTAGCTGCCCTCCTTTAATTAATACGTGTTAGAATTTTGCCAGGAATTGACATCAAGGTCAGAACTTGCAAGCTCTTCCCTTCTTTTGAAAATCAGGAAAACAGTTTCCTTTCTGCAATTCTTCAGTTGCTGTCTCTTTCTCTCAGATCTTGCTAAGTTCTCTGATCACTGTCAGTACCACGGCAGTCCCATCTCTCAGTTTACTCCAGAGTTTCTTGATCTGAGCCTGCTGGCTTTGTGTACATTGAAGAACTGATCTTTTTACTTTTTACTTGTCATAGGAATTAACTCTCTATTAATCATTTTCATTTGATCCTTTCTTGTCTAAAGATCATTTTCTTTATTAGAGAAAACAAAAGCATCTCTGCCCTTTCTCTGTGGTCTGTCATCCTCATCCCATCACCCCTAACCCTGTCCTTTGTCCTCATTGTGACCTACAATCGCTCCACTCTTCAGTTCCTTCCCAGTCATCCCCTCTGCTGTACTCTCCTCCCTTTCCTATCTCAACCCACTGGTGAACCACAGTGAACTATTTTCTTCACTTGAATCCCTTGCTCCCTCATGCCACTGTGCTCTGCCAAGCCTCAACCTTGGACTATTCCCACCATCTGCAGCCTTTTGTTTCCTATTCCAATCTGTTGCTAAGACTTGTTGTTTCCGCCTTCACGACACCTCCCCTACATCCCGTTCTTGCCAGTCCCACAGCAGCCATCCTGGTGGAAGACCCTCAGTCCCCCTCCACAGGGAGTACTGCAATAGCTTCTAATTGGTCTCCCTCCCTCATGTCTCTCCCCACTCTCATCCATCCTCCACTCGGCTGCCAAAATGATTTTCTTAAAGCACAGGTCTGACCATATCATTCCTCTATTCGTAAATTCCAGTGGCTCTCTAAACCTCCAAGATCAAAACTAAAAATCCTCTGTTTGTTACTTAAAACCCTTCATAAACTGGAGCCTTCCTACTTTTCCAGTATCCTTAGTCCCCTCCATGTACTGTCCAGTGGTGCTACTGTCTTTGTTGTTCTTCACTCAAGACCCTCCATCTCCTGCCTCTGAACATTTTCACTGACTGTACCCCATGCCTGGAATTCTCTTTCTTGGTCCATTTACACCATCTATATTTATATATACATAGTTGTTTGTATGGTGTCCCCTCTATCAGAATGTGAATTCCTTGAAGGCAGGGCATGTGTTTTTGCCTTTCTTTGAATCCTCTGCACTTAGCACAGTGTCTGGCATACAGTAGGTGCTTAATATTTAACTGTTTGTTGACTGACTGAACAGGGTTCTTCCCTTCTTTGATGCTCCTCTTTTTTTCACTAGCTTCAGCTCATTTCAGGCTTTAGAATTCATTACACTAGTCTTCCAGGACGGTGTCACACACTTTTGTATTCATCCTCTGTTACCTGTCCTGGAGGATTCACTTTCTGTATGTCTTTTAAAAATTGACATCAGTTGATGAGTTCCCTGTGTAGCCACATTGTTCTCTTTAGACAATCTCCTATTTGCTTCTACATCAGAATTGTTCCTCTTTATATCTTTATATCCTCTTTATATCCAAATATATTGAACATATTTATACATATCCAATTTATATATTAAATTGGAATTTATTCTTAAGAGTTTCCCATCTTTTCTGGGCTGCCTTCACTTACAGAATTTTAGGCCATGGAATCCTACCTGTAAATAACCTCTGATTCTAAATCTGACTCTTTCCACGCTTATCCTTCTGCTCAACCCTTGTTCTATATGGTCCCAGAAACCAACTGTTTAGTCTGGGGGAGTCTCTCTAGACAGAGAGAGAGAGACATAAAGCTTGCTAATTCACTAGCCTAAAGAGCATTTATTAATGCCTACTAAAAGCCAGCTATTGTGCTAAGTGGTGATATACAAAGATAAAATTGAGTCATTCCCTGCCCTCAAGGAGTTTACATTCTACTGGGGCAAAACAACTTATACAGAAGTAAGTGTATATAAAATATATACAAAAGAGATACAAAGTAATATTGCGGGGAAGGATCTAACAAATGAAGGGATCAGGAAAGGCTCTGTGTGTAGGAAAGAGCTCTTGATCTGAGCCTTGAAGGAATCTAGGTATTCTAAGGAGCAAAGGTGGGGGAGGGAGGGTGCATTCCAGGTATGGGATAAATTGGAGATATTAACAGAGGGAAAGCACTGGAATTAAGAGGAGTTAGGGAAAGCTTCTTCTAGAACATGGGATTTTGGTTGGCACTTAAAGGAAGCCCAGGAAGTCACAGCTGAGGAGGGAGAGCACTCCAGGCATGGAGGAGAGCCAGAGAAAATGCCCAGAGCCAGAGATAGAGTGTCTTATTTGTGGAATAGTCAGCCAATAAATAATTAAGGACTAACCGGCTGTACTTTTAGACATATCGATTTCCTAACAACAGTCTGCCCATTTCTTCCTCAGGCTATAGAGTTCAAGCTTGGTCAGACTGATTCTTAACGCTTGGAGGTTTATTGGGAATGGCTGTGGAGCCAGTGGAAGGAAGACCTTCTGTGGGGTCTGGTTTTAGCCCAGTGTAGTGAATTAGGAAGCAGCATGGGAATTAGGAAGTCTGGGCTTTTCATTCAGGTTCCGCCACTAACTTACTACTTAATCTTGGACAAATCAAACATTCCCCCTTCTCTGGGACCTCAGGCAGCTCCTTTCAATGGAGAATTGAATTCACTAAATGATTTACAGAGGCAACAGTGAATAGATCCCTGGACTTGGACTCAGGAAGACATGGGGTCAGATTCTATCTTAGCCATTTACTAGCTATGGAACTCTGAGAAAGTCACCTTAACTTTTGTGGGCCTCAAATTCCACATCTGTAAAAATAACGGAGTTGGACTCAGTGGTCTCTGAGGTTTCTTCCAATTATAAATGAATGGTCCATTTTAGCTTGGGAAAAAGTTCTGTCCTATTATCCCTGTCTTCCATTCTCTTGTCCAGACAGTTCTACCCTCAGTAATCTCAGTCCGGTTGGAGGGAAGAAGCTCACCCCATGGAACAGTTAAGGATGACATATTTGTAAGACTCTGTTACAATCACTAGCTTATTTTAAGCTTAGGTGGCAATATAATGGCCCCTAAAATCCCTTGGCTTCCTCTACTTTGGCTTTAAGAAGTTTGTTTCAGATGAAAAGTTCTAAGTTCAGTTACAGTCATTCCAAGCCTTCAGTTAGAAAAATTCCTAACACCTAAGCAAGGGTTGGGCTTTCTGCCTAATCTTACATTTATATCTATTGCTGTTCTTTTTTTTTTCTTTTAAAGCAATTGGGGTTAAGTGACTTGCCCAGGGTCACACAGCTAGTATGTGTCAAGTGTTTGGTCTGAGGTTGGATTTGAACTCAGGTCCTCCTGATTTCAGGGTTGGTGATCTATCCACTACGCCACCTAGGTGCCCCCATTTATGTCTATCCTAACCCCTGGCCTCTTTACGGTTGAGGTAAAATTCAGTGCACTGCAAACATGTGGTAATGAAACCATACGATTACATTATAGTGTCTGGGTATAGACAAGCTTTGGAAGGAGCTGACTTTTTCTTGGGATTTTCCTAGGTTCTCCCTTCTGAGATGCCTGCCAAACCAGAGACTCCTCTCAACATCTCCCTTTTCTGTCAACTTGGTCCACCCTTTGCCTCTCGAATATGTCATGGAAATGCCATGCTTTCTCCAATCTCTCAAATCCAGATAAGAGGCTCAGAATCTCTTTCTCTGGTTTTCTGAGCTAGATTCTCCCCTTCATACAAAGTGCTTAGGTCATGACCCATTCTCTCACAGCCTGGCTATGCTATTGATTCCAGAAGGCGTACAAGTCCTTTTCATACTCAGCTCTGAGTGTTTCATTAAATCAATAAGTGTTCTCACCTAGTCAAGGCACCAAAACCAAATGGAATGGTTTCAAATCCGCTCTTCCACATAGCGGAGTTCCAAATGACACAGCACTAGATTTGGCGTCAAAACTTGGCTCTGTCGTCTATCTAATCCATGTTTGTCCTTGAGACAGTTTTCCCCCATTAATAAATAAGGGTTTTGGGAAAACCCTTAGAGATCTAGTCCGACTCTCAAATCCTTTGACTCTTGGTAAAGAAAACATGTGCTGTAAGAGTTCAGAGAAAGGAGGGATGGGAGAGGGAGGAGGTTCAAGGAAGGTTTCATGAAAGAGATAAGGTTTACAATTCCAAAGGACTTATGATGGAAAATGCTGTCCACCTCCAGAGGGAGAACTGATGAACTCTGGATGAAAATTGAAGCATAATTTTTTTCACTTTCTTAATTTTTCTTGCTTCATGAAAGAGATAAGGTTTATAATTCCAAAGGACTCATGATGGAAAATGCTGTCCACCTCCAGAGGGAGAACTGATGAACTCTGGATGAAAATTGAAGCATAATTTTTTCACTTTCTTAATTTTTCTTGCTTTTTTGCAATATGGCTAATATGGAAATATGTTTCACATGACTTCACATATATCATATTGCTTGCTTTCTCAATAGGTGGGGGAGAGCCTGGAAGGAGGGGGAGAATTTAGAACTTAAAATTTAAAGATGAATGTTAAAAATATATAAACCAGAAAGAAAGAGAGAAAGGAAAGAAGAAAAAAGAAAATGGAGGAAAGAAAGAGAGAGAGAAAGTGGAGGTTGAGCTGTACCTTGAAAAGCCAAGCCAGACAGTTTCAAAAGACAGAAAGGCAGGAATGATTAGAAGACCCATTGTACTTTCTGGAGATAGTGACACAGAGAGAGGTCATGCAGCAAGTCCAAGAGAAGGATCTTGATAAGCCTTTTTCTAAGTCTTTTGGTACAGATATTCTGGGACCCATCCAGCCATTTTTCTCTTTCTCCTCAACTGTCAGAAAAAAATAGTTTATGTTTTACATGTAACTGGGGAAAAATAAAATACTAAATAAAGGAAGAAAAAAGAAAATAGAGTTTATGGGGGCAGAACCCCTGTCAGTCAGGGAGGTAGGCTTTTGGTTCAGGCCTAGTAGGACAGGGCTCTGCATCTGATGGTTACTTCCCTCCTGTCCCCACAGGGCTGAGCTGAAATGATGAAGATGATGACTTTTTTCCAGACATCTGTAGGTGACCACCAGACAAACCCCTCTATGCCACCTCAATACGAGCCTGAACTCAGCCCTACTGGCAGAAAGCCCCGGGCAGTGTCAGAGACAGAGTCTGATACGGCCTCCCTGGCCTCCTCTGAGGATCTCTCTCCCCATATGGAGAGGGTCTCAACCCAAGACAAGGATGAGAAGAAGAAGAAGAAAAAGAAGAAAGGAATCATAAAGATGTTTGATGTGTTGACCAGAGGGATGAGAAAGAAGAGTCATTCAGGCCCCACCGCTGAAGTGCCAGAGACAGTGGTTAAGCCTGATGCCCCTCCCCCTACAGGTAAGTTATAAAGAAGAGGAATGCCCCAAGGTGACATGAGGAAGGTTTGACTCAGTGCTCAGGGACAGAAGATCTTTTAAATTAATTTCACTTGGTTTCTGATGAATTAAAGGAATTGAACTCTACCTTGGAGAGACATACAGGTGGGGGGAGGCAGAAGACCCACTGTTCTCTCCAAAGCCACTAACAATCTAGGATGAGAGAGGGGAAGTAAGTTGACCAAGGTCACATGGCAAGACCAATAAAAGTATCTTGCTGGGCCTTTTCCCGAGTTCTTTGTGACCAATGTTTATGGATTCACTTCTCCTTATTTCTCCTCAACTGTCAGAGAAAGTAGGGGTTATTGAGGACAGAACAATTGTGAGATTGGCCTGGATTTGCCTCTAAACCTGTGTTACTGTGTTACTTTGGGCAAGTCATTTAACCTTCATGGGCCTCGGTTTCCCTGTCAATAAGTGAGAATAATAACCCTGTCCTACCTCCCTCCCAAGCATGTGGTGGTGCATGGAGTGCTGGGCCTAGAGTCAGGAAGACTTGAATTCAAATTTAGCCTCAGACACTTAAGAGCTGTGTGAACCTAAGTGAGTCACTAAATCTCTGTCTCAGTTTCCTCAACTGTAAAATGAGGATAATAATAGCACCTGCCTCACAAGGTTGTTGTGAGGATCAAATGAGATAAGTGTAAAAAAAAAAGTGCTCAGCACAGTGCTTGGCATATAGTAGGCACTACATAAGTGCTTACTCCCTTTTTGCTCCCAGAGCCATCATAATGAGGCAGTGTGGTATAGTGGAATGAGTGCTAGACTTGGAGATCCCTGGGTTTGAATCTTACCTCAGACATTAGTTATGTAACCATAGTTATTTAAAGTTATGTTAAAATATTATTTAAAGTTATTTAAAATATGAGTCTCAGTTTCCTCACATGAAAAATGGGAAGAATAATACCTTTGTTACTTACGTCATAGGCTTTTGTGAGGGTCATGAGGGGAAAGTGTATAAAGCATTTTGCACATTTTAAAGCCATATGTAAATTTCAGTTATTATAAGAGGCAACATGATAGAATGGCTAGAGTTCTGGACCTGGAGGTTGGAAGACCTGGGTTCAAATCCCACCTTTGGCACCTAAAGGCTGTGTGATAATGTACAAGTCACTTACCCACTCTGAGCCTCAGTTTCCTCATGTGTAAAATTAGAAAGTTGTACTGGATGGCCTCTGAGTTCCCTTTCAGATGTAAATCTATGATAAGAGAAGAGATGGAGGGAGAGGCCTGTAAATGGTAGAGTGCTCTAAACATGTGTGAAAGGTCTAAATCTGGACCTTGGGCCTTGCCTGACTCACATTGGCCTGAGGGAGCAAGCTGCACAGGACACTGAGAGCTTAAGTCACTTGTCCAGGGTCTCACAGCCAGTATGTATCAGAGTGGGCATGGACTCCACGGGCAAGGTCACACAGTCAGGAAATGTCAGAATTAGGACTCAACCCTCAGTCCTCTGACCAGGGCCAACATTCATCATGCTGCCACCTTCCTTTCCAGTCAAGGAGGTAAAAAACCCAAGGAAATACCAGGCAGGCAGTGTAGTAAAGTAGGAGGAACAATAAATTTGAAGTCAGAGGACCTGGGTTCCAATTCCAGCTTTGCTGCCTATTGGCTAAGTGATTTTGGACAAATCACTTCTCACCTCTGACCCTCACTTTCCTCCTCCCAAGGGGTCCCACAGTTTTAAACTCCCTGATCTGAATAATCCCTTTGAATGAATGTTTCCCCCCAGAGGATGTAAGAACCCCCTCTTTTATCAGGACCCATAAGGAATCCCAGGCATGACTAACTCCCTCTTTCCCCCTGGGGACAGTGGAGGAGCTCTACTCAGCACTAAAACAGGAGCGGCTGGAGATGGCGCCTCACCTACTGATGTTGGAGCGAGCGTTGGTACAGGACACAACTGGGATGAATGAGGAGGATCTGATCTGCCAGCAAAGCAAGGTGGAGGCCCTCTATACACTGCTGTGGTCAGCCGTGCTGCGTGTGGTTCGCCGGCCTCTGGAGAATGAGCCTGAGCTGCTGCTCCAGGCCCTGAATGTCATCCTGGAGCAGGAGCAGGAGGACCAAAGAGTGGCAGCCGAGGAGAGGGGCCCCTCGGTCCTGGCGACCACCCGGCCCCGGCACTGGCTCAAGCGGTGGCAAGAAAATGTGAAAGACTCAGTGGAGGAGCGGATGACTAGGCCCCCCTCCGCAATCCTGGATGGACCCAGGCCAGAAGGCATGGAGGCCAGCTCAGAGGCTGCCCAGAGCTTCCTGTACATGGGCAAGACAATGAAGGAAGACCTTCTGGCTGTGGCCCAGCGCCTCCAGCCCCTCTACCCAGCTGAGTTCAATGTGTTCTGCACCTATGCCACGTGCTATCATAACTACTTCTCAAGCCAACTCACCGCCATGACTCAGTTTGAGCTTAATGATCAAGACACCTCCCTCCTGCTTCTCTGGGTGAAGAACCTCTACCCAAAGTAAGTGAAGAACACAGAATGTAGATATGTATATCTGTCTATCTGTTGTCCTGAAAAGAGCTCTGGATTTAGAACCAGAGGATCTGGGTTCAAATCTCTACTCTGCTATTTACTGTAACCTCTGTGACCTTAGACAAGTCATTTCCCCAACCTCAGATTGCCCATTTATAACATGAGTGAGTAGCAATCTAATAATCCCCAGTAGCCCTTACAGTTCTGATGTTCTATTGTCTATGATTGTCATATGAGGAGGTCAAATCCCTAAGGTTTCTTCTGGAACTGAAACTCAATGACCACATCACCTAAGATTATACCCTGACTCAGGGTTTGTCCTTCTCCCTCTGAATCAAGTATACCAGTCTAATCCATTCCACAAGGTATTTATTAATCACATACTACATACAGATGTTCTATGACCCATTTATCCCTCTGTTAGACCAGTGGTATCAAACTCAATAGAGAGGATCTCTGTGGGTAGCAAATTAATTTAGAAAACCACAAATCAATATTATCTATGTTGTATTGTATTTTTATTTATTTTGTTAAACACTTCCCAATTAAATTTTAATCTGCTTCGAGCAGCTCTTGCGGAATTTGGGCTTGTGAGGCATTCGACAATTAATGTTCTTTATGAAAGCCCAATTTAGCTAAGTTCAGTGCAGTGGAATTTTTTGTCCTCAGTGACTCCCATATAGTTACTGAGAGAACAGAGAAAGGAGTACAATCTACTTTAGCGGAGGTACTCCCATAGCAATCTGTGAAGTATGTACAAAGGCTTAGGTTTACATCCATGCTAGGGATGTAAAGATAATACATGGGACCTGCCCACCAGGAACTTACCTAATCTAGTAGGGGAGGTGATAGCTAGAGGAGGTGTAGTATGACAGTACCCTCTTCTGTAAAATGAGATTGGACTAGATATCCAAGGCCTTAAATCCTATGACTTAGTGGGGCATTTTGTGTTACAGTCCTTCCCCTTCTTCTCCCTCACAATTAGGTCAGCTGCTTTGGAACCACAGACCTGTAGAAGGTAGAACTATGAAAAGCCTAGAATTTGGAATTCCAAGACCAGGGGACATAGAACTCTAGAGGATCACATCAGAAACTGTACATAGGCTATAGAATTGTTACTCTGAGCAAAGTACCAAAGAAAATGTACAAGCTGTAAGACCATCTAGCCCAATTCTCATTCTCTTTCTCTGTCTTTCCCTCCCTCTCCCATACGATTATGTATTATTATATGTGCGTTATATATTATACATAAATTATAATTGTACATATATATATATACACACACACACATATATATACTTCACACTGATTTGGTAACAGTGCTCAGAGTAGAACCTGAGTCCACTAGTTTCCAGTTCATCCCACTGGAAAGAAGGGTGGGGCTACTGGGTTCGTCCTTCTGGGAAGCAGGGACCTGGTTATAGGCCAGGTTGGAGCAACTCTGGTTTTCCTCAGTGATAGGAACCTTCTACCCTAAAACAGTGATATCTGATGATCCTTATTTTATATAGTCTACTTGTCTCCCAAAATTCCATCTTATTCAACATATATCCTGCTCCCTCTTAGCTTTCCTCTTCCTTGGCCTCTTATTAGGTGGGATGAGAGGTTAGCCTCCCCATCTCATCCAGGTTTGGTGGTCAGCAAGGGAAAGAAGGGACAGCTCCGTGGTACAGTGGATAGAGTGCTGGGCCTGAAGTACAGAAGCCTCATTTTCCTGAGTTCAAACCTGACCTCACACTACATGTGTGACCCTGGGCAAGTCACTTAACCCCATTTGCCTTAGTTACCTCATCTATAAAATGACTTGGAGAAGAAAATGAAAAACCACTCTGGTATCTTTGCCAAGAAAACCTCAAATGGGGTCATGATGAATTGGTTATAACTGAAAACAACTGAACAATAACAAAATGGAGGAAGAGGCCCAGGGAGTGAGATAGCAGGAAGTGAAGGACCACTGTGGAAGTCTATGCCTGGGAGAGAGCTAGAGACCCGTTTAAGTTTTTTAGAGCCTAGAACCCAATCCTATCCTCTTGCTCCTCTCCTGCCTCTCTCTTTCTTCTCCCTCTATAATCTGGTTCTGGAGTAAAGCAACCCCTCTCAATTTGCCCTGCCAATTTCAACTAATACCACATATTTTTAAGCATCTATCCTGTGTAAAGCTCTGTGCCTAGTCATTTGGGAAAGTATACAATTAAGATAAGGTTTTCCCTTTGCCGTAATGGAGCTTACAATACTCTCACACCTGTAATACAGCTTCCTATTTTCTTAAAATGTTTTGTCATCGTCTTAGCCTCAGAACAGTGCTGAGGTGGTGAGAAGGTAGAGAGAGGGGCAAGGAGGCTGGCCAGGTAGATGGTCTCATAGAATGTCACTTCCAGAAGGGACCTTAGAAATCTTTTACTCCAATCCCTTCATTTACAGATAAGGAAATTGAGGTGATGAGAGGGAAGGGGATTTACCTGATGTTACAGAGCAGATCAGTATCAGAATCAGGATTAGAACCCAGGTCTCCTAACTCCCAGAATCCCAAAGAGAGCCTCACTACAGTTCTGAGATACTAAGATAGTTGCCTGCCTGCACAGTGTGGGAGAGGTTTGGAAGACATATTGGGTGGTCCAGGAAAGCAGAAGGATGGGGGAGGAGGTAATATCTGTGTGTTCTTTGTGTCTTCTTTTGAATGAGACTGGATCTTTGGGCTTGGAGTTGAAAGATCTGACTTGAAACCTCAGTTATCCTATTAACTTGCCGTGTGACCTTGGACAAGTCCCTTCCCTAAATCTGATCCTCAGCTTTCACCTCTATAAAATAAAGCAGTTGGACTAGCTGGTGTCTAAGGTCCTCTCCAACTCAAAAATACTAAATGGAAACCCTGGTCCCTTGTCACTGGACCCTTTAAGAGATCTGGGACTAGAGGCTGCCTAGGGAGGGAAGAATAGCCGTGGGGATCACCTACTTTGTTCAGAAATTAGAACCTGAGGCTGAACTAGGGAGGAGGATGGAATGTACTCCAGACAGCTGTGTTTACTCTAGCAGACTCTCTAACACCTCTTGGGAAGATAACCAACTCCCCCACTCACGCAGCTCTGATAAACATTATCTCCCACTTTCGGATGAATGCTTATCATCAGCCCTGGGCTCAGAGCCTGTGACTCTGCCTTTGATTCTCACACCAGCACCGTGGGGAGGTGCAGGGCTGGGCTGATGTTTTCCCCTTTGGGACAGAAGAGGAAGCAAAGATTCAGAGGGGAAGTGATTTACTCAGGGTCACACAACAAGGCAGGAGTGGAGCCAGGATGAGAATTCGGGTCTCCTGACTGCAGCAGACAGTGGCTGTTCACTTCCTCCTCAAGGTTGTGCCTTGGCCCAGAGCCAAAAAACCTCCTGGCATCGTGAGGAGAGTTAGGAGCCTGGATAACACGGCAGCTTGGCGTCCTGGATAACATCCTAGATTGCAAGCTGGAAAGGGATCTTTTGTTGTTATTGTTCAGCTGTCTTCCAGTCACGTCTGACTCTTTGTGACCTCTTTTTGAGTTGTTGGGGGTTTTTTGGGGGGGGGGTTGTTTTTGTTTTTTATTTGTTTGTTTTGTTTTGGTTTTGGCAAAGATACTGGAGTGGTTTGCCATTTCCTTCTCCAGCTCATTTTACAGATGAGCAAACTGAGGCAACAGGGTTAAGTGACTTGTCCAGGGCCACACAGCTAGTGGGTGTCTGAGGCCAGACTTGAACTCAGGAAGATGAGTCTTCCTGACTCCAGGCCCTGTACTGTACAAACTATGGTGTCCTAGGGCTCTTACAGACCTTCTAGTTCAATCCCCTCACTTCATAAGGAAATAGATGCCCAGAGAAATTAAGTCACTTGCCCAAAGTTGCACAAGTAGTAAGTGAAAGAGAAGAGATTTGAACTCAGGCCCTCTGCTTCCAAGTCCAGCTTTCCTTCTACTACACTCCTTCTACTACTCCCTCCCAACCTTCCACCACCACCCCATAATGTGGATGGGAGGAGTGTTCCATACTGGGGAATCTGACTTTCAAATTTCATGTAATTTAAATAAATGCAAATAAAGAGCAGGTTCCTAGGTGGACAACTCTCACTTTTAGTAGACAGAGCCCTGGGTTCTAACCTTAGTTTTAGCATTGCTGTATGACCTTAGGCAACTTCCCCCCCCCCGGGCCTCAGTTTCCTCATCTGTAAAGCAATGGTGTTGGATGAGATGACCTCTAATATCTTTCGGCCCTGAAGTTCTAGGTTTATGATCCATACTCACTCCCCCACTTTTGGGGTGTCAGTGTATCTATCAGTTTATGGAAGGAGTAACCCTGATAGATCCCTAGCTGGCTACAGTTTCCCATCTACTACAACTTACAGGGTTACAAGGACCTGGAGACAACAGGGGTTTGGGAAGAGGAGGGAATGGAGTGGGCAAGGAGAGAGATGGAGATGAGGAAGAAGGAGCTTTTTAAGGGGGAGGACATCAGGAGGAGAGGGATCAGTTTGGCTGAGACCAGGTGTGCCTGGTTGCTGAGGCTCCAACCTCTGGGATTCCAGCCCAAGTGTTGTCCCTGACATTTTTACCAAGGTTTCCCCTGGGACTCTAAAGACAGCTGCTCCTGCCAGCTGAGCCTGGGCTGGGAGGGGAAGAGAGGCGAGATTGATAATTTGGAACCTCAGACCCACTCCACACCCAAACGGAGCCAACTTAGCATCCTGCACTGGCTGCAGACACAATCTGCCCCTAGACAGGAGGAACGAATGGTTGACAGGGTCAGGCCTAAATGCCTCCTGGGATGGGGGGAGGGGGGAGGGGCCATTCCAGTCATTGCTGGTCATGGCTGCCTGGCTTTTCTGTGCTCCTTAAGGGCTAGCCAGCCTTATGCTCCGAGCCCTTTACCCCCTGAGCTGAGTTGGGGGACTGAGCATCAGGCCACCCAGGGCTCTAGAGGATAGAGCAAAGTCCGTGTGTCAGGAGCCCAGATTCTGTCTTCAGCTCTGCCACCCTGCTCACCTGCTTCATGACCTTGCAGCTGAGTTTCCTCAGCTTTCCAATCTGCAAAATAGGGATCTTAATCCTGGCCTGACATGCCTCATGAGAATTAAAAGATGATAATGGAGGAGAAATCTCTCTGGAGAACTGAAGAAGCAGTATAAAAGAGTGGAGACAGTGTGGGAATTGAGTTCAAATAACAGTTCCAGCACTTACTAGCTATGTGACTATGGATGCAAGTCAGTTAACCTCATCTGTAAAATGGGCATAATACCCACAAGGTAGTTGTGAGGAAACTACTTTGCAAACCTCAGAGGAGGGCCATAGAAGGAAATTGTAGCCTGTGAATACCTTGTGGGCTACTTGAGGGTGGGGCCTAAGGCTATTTTTTCTCTGTCTCTTCCAAACCATGAGGAAAGCATTTTGTAAACCTTAAGTGCCACATAAATAGGAGCTGTTGTTGATACTGATTTCTCCCTCCTCTGAGCTCCCTGAACCTGGAGTGTGAGCTGCTGGTCTCTTAGTCCTTGATCACTGTGTCTCGTCTTGTTCTCTAACCTGACTAATTGGAGGCCATCTCCTAAGCCGGACCGGGCTCTCTGAGGGTAGGACTCAGGTCTATTCCTCTTAGAGGCATCTAGATGGCAGAGTAGGTGTGGAATCAGGAAGACCTGAGTTCAAATCTGGCCTCAAACACTTACTGGCTGTGTGGCTTTGGGCAAGTCATTTATTTAAACCTCTGCTTCAGTTTACTCATATGTAAAATGGGGATAAAAATACTTCCCAGTGTTGTTGTGACGATCAAATGAAATATTTGTAAAGCATTTAGCACAGTTGCTGGTACATAGTATCCCCTTCATAAATGCTTTTTTTCCTCCCTGCCCTCACCTTTCTCTTCTGTCACCCCTAGATTATGAGCTTCCTTAAGGGGTAGGGCTTGGATCTGCTCTTCTCCCACACTCTAATATTCTGCCCTAGTCAGACCTCATCTGGACTGTTGTGTTTAGTTCTGGGTATCACATTTTAAGAAGGACATTTAAGAAGGATACCTGGGAACTATCCAAGAAGGGTCCCCACAACAATGAAGGGCTTCAAGCAGCCTTCCTCAAGTCCATGCCATAATGGGAATTTGTAGGATGAAACTGAGATATTTACCCTGGAGAAGGGCTCTGGGTAATATGATCACTGACCTGAAGTACTTAAAAGGCTATCTTCTGCAAGGCCCCAGAGGACAGAATCAGGAGCAATGGATAGAAATTTAAAAGAAGCAAATTTAGGCTTTGATATCAGGAAACTCTTCCTGACATTTAGAGCTGTCTCAAAGTGGAATGGGATGCCTGGGGAGGCAGTGGATGCCATCTCACTTCAAACAAAAACTTATTATCACTTGTCTCATGTGTTGTAATGGGACTCTTTTCTGGGGTATGGGTTGGACAAAATGGCTACTGAGAGCCCTTCCAGTTCTGAGATTCCATGATTCTGTGAGCTCCCTGAGTACCGGGTCTGGATCTCTTCCTCTGCTTTTGAGACCATCCACATGGCTAGCCCCATGATCAGTTCTGTATGGAAGAGATGAGAAGGAGGTGTCCCAGCCTTGGAAGCCTTCTTTGTTCACAGGCCCTTCATTTCTGGGTTTCTCCTTGTTTTTGCTATCAGTGACATCATCAATCATCCCAAGCTATCAGAGGAGCTTCAAGCAGCTGGCTTGGGGAGCCTCCTGCCACCCAAAAAGACCCGAAAACTGGAAGTCGACTACATATCTAATGAGACGGTAAGAGTGGTGCTGTCTGATGTGCTCTGGTCCCTCTCTCCCTAACCCTTCTTCACACCTATCCCTCTTCTCTCTGTTCTCCCATGCCAGACTAGTTTGGGACAGGAATTGAAGAGGCTAGTAACTGACTTCCTAATCTTAGCCCACTGGGAAAGGGGAATAAGTAACTGGCTTTAATTCACAAAGAGGTGCTCCCAAACTATTTCCTCCAGTCCCCAATGGAAAAGAACTAGGAGGAGAGAGAGTGGAGGCAGGGAAAAAATTAGAAGAAGGGAAAGAGTGAGAGATGAGACAGAAAGAAAGAGAAAGCAGATAGATGGTAGAAGAGACAAAAGAGAATTGATGGGGAGAGGAAAAATGGAAATCTGGAGAAATTAAGACAAAGATGCTTAAGTTACATTTCTCAGAGCACTTTGACTCTCTCTTTTGCCCCTTTCACATTCTGTCTTGTACCATACTTATTGACATGTAAGCCTCTGATACATACTAGCTGTGTGATACTTGGCAAGTCAACTAACCTCTCAGTGTCTGACGCTAATCTCTCATACTAAAAAAAAAATGGCGACCAAGTTTGGTCACCAGGAGGTTCCCTATACCGGTGAAATCACAGGTCTAGTCATAACTCCTTGCCCCTTATTAGACTGTACTTTCCTTGAGGACAGGGACTGTGTCATTTTTTTATCTTTGTGTCCTAACATGGAGCACAGGATATTTTATATATTGGGCCTTTAATATGTTGTTAAAATTTGAATTTCCAATCTCTTTTCTCAACAGAGAAATAAAGGGGAAGAACTGGGGAAAAGATAGAGATGTAGAGAATTCTCTGTCTTTGGGAAGCAAAAATTAAATAAATGAGAGAAATAGAAATGGAAAGATAAGGGGAAGGGGAGTAGAAAGAAGAAAGGGGTAAAATATGGAGACTGAGATAGCAATAGAAAGGAGGGAGAGGAGAGAAAAACAAAGGAGGGGGGAGTTAGGGAGACAGAAACAAAGGAAAGAAAAAGATGAAGAGAGAGAAGCAGAGAGATGGGAGAGAGAAAATTGGAGAGAGGTACAGGAAACAGATATGTAGTGAGGAAAGATAGGGGCAGGGGCAGGTAGGTGGCCCAGTGGTTACAGCGCAGATCCTAGAGTCAGGAGGACCAAATCCGGCCTCAGACCACACACTTGACACTTACTAGCTGTGTAACCCTGGGCAAATCACGAGAGAGAGAGAGAGAGAGAGAGAGAGAGAGAGAGAATGTGTGTATGTATGTGTGTAGGAGCTGGATGCACAAATGGATGTAAGTCATGAAGTGTTAGTGTGGGTTCCAATCCTGGCTCTCTGAAAGGTAGATCTGATGTGATTTTGGACTAGAAACCAGAAAGAAGGCTGGAGGTCTGAAACGAGGATGAGGAGGAGAGCCTGATCTGGGAGTCTGGGTAGGGACAGTAAAGGAGAGGAGTAGAGGTTCTTGGGGTTCATAGGTTGGCTGAGAGAAGGTCAATGGGAGGGGAGAGGAAGAATTATTGAGAATCACCCACCACCCCCAGACTGAGAGTCAGGAGCCCTGGCTTAGGGTCCTGCCTATGCCATTAATTTACTGTGTGATCTTGGGTACAACCCTTCCCCTCCCTAAGCTGTGGTTTCTCCTTCTGTAAAATAAGAGTAATGATTCCTGCATTGGGTGGGGATAGAAGTTGGAGGTGGGGATGTAGATAATAGTCAAAGTACTAAAAAGTACTTACAAAGTTTCAGTGACTCATAAATGTGTAAAGATATTTTTATTTTCCATCATGATGGTTATGATGTCAGTCATGCAAACCAAAAGTTTTCCTGTCTAGTTTAATCTCCTCATTTTACAGATGAGGAAACTGAGGCTCAGAAAAGAAAAGTAACTTGCCTAAGATCACATAAAGTTAGTAAGTTGGGGAGGTAGTAAGCAGTAGTTAGTAGTTTGTAAGCATCAGAGCTGGGAATTGAGTCCCAAAGCTCTGACTCTAAATCTAACATTTTTCTTCTTTCACCATGATGACTCAAAGCTGGCCACGAGTGGCAAATAATAACAATAATAATAATAACTCACTTAACTACAGTGCTGTCTCCAAACACTGTCCTTGGAAAAGCTCTGGTAGGGAGGTAATTTAGCTGCCAATATTTGACAAAGGATGCTATTGAGGCTCAGAAAAAAAAAATCATAGGATTATAGAATGTTAGAGTCAGAAAGGACTTCAGAAGTCATTTAGCCTAACCCCTTCATTGTGCAGATAAGGAAACTAATGCCCAGAAGGGGCAAGGGACTTTCTCAAGGTTAGGTCTTCTGATTCCCAAGTCATCCAGTACGTTTTCCTCTATTCTTTCCTCCAATATCCCCCATCCCACTGGGATCTCAGGGCCAATACAGGGTGAGAATGGGGATAGCCACTATCCCCTTGTCCTCAGGCAGGACCTACCACCAACAAGTTCCCAAGATCACCTGGGTACCTCCTCCTATTACCTAGGCAAACGTCCAGGAACTGATGATGCGAGGGCTGGCGCTAGAAGTAGAGAGATGGTCAGAGGACGAGGAGCCCATGAATCTAGAAGGGTACTTCCACAGTGAGCTCCCAATTGACATCATACAGGTAATGGAACAACCTTTCTCTCCCCACTTTCCTCACAACACAGAGGCATAACATCCATGTATATGGAACATAATTTATGCATGTCCAAGTACTGTGGCTTTGGCCCCCCAAAATACAAACATAATTCTTTTAAAAATTTTTATATAATATTTTATTTTTCCCAAATTATATGTTAAAACAATTTTTAAAACATTTTTGAAAGTTTTGAGGTCCAAATTCTACCCTTCCCTCCTTCCCTCCCCTCCCCCTTCCCTGAGATGGTAAGCAATACACGGACATATTTCCCATTCAAGCATCCATCCATATGCATGCTTAGTACCTAGATACACAGCCCTGAGTGTCAAAGGCAAGGTGTGTGTGAGAATATGCACAGAAGCAAGTCTAGATCTATTGTGGCCCTTCTCCAACATATCTACACATACCTGGACGTGCCGACACATATGTATGTATGTCACATGGCACACTGGGCCCGATGGCCTGGGCAGCTCACTCCTAACACACACTCACTCTCACATACCATCTTTATCCGTGTACACATACCTAGCTAACATCACTATGTACTCCTGGTTCTCATTTTACCCCTTGCCCCCTCCCTCACCTCATCCCCCCCTCAAAAAAAACCCCAAACATGCAGCCAAACTTGTAATGGCCAGAGAGCTAGCTTTGAAGTCAGAAGACACAAGTTTTAAATCTATCTCTGCTATTGAGTAACTGTTTGACTTTGAGCAACTATATCCTTCTCTTCTCAGGGACTCATTCTTCCTCTGTAAAATAAGGGGGCCAAACTTGGAAGATCCTCTAAGGTCCCTCCTAACTCTAAATCCTATGATTTTTAAAAATATATGCTCACATATTCTCCTCCCCCCACACACAGATAACTGCTCACCATTCACACTCATCAATTAATAAACACCGGTTAATTGCATACATCCTCAGTGTATACATACACTTGCACATACATATATTCATATATTCACGTTCCTTCGAGCAGGATGAGGTGGGTCTTTGGGGGTGAGCTATCCTACAGCCTTCAGACCTCCTTTCCCCATCCAGCCCAGGCAGCCTTTGCTTTTATCTCATAGTCCCAACAGTCTTCCCTCTCTCTAGGTAAGAAGGCTCGTATGCATTCCCATAACCCTCTATCCCTGTTAGCCAAAGTCCCAGGAGCAAAGTCGTCTTTCTAGATCTGCTCAACTCTAGGCCTGTACTCCCAGCCTTCTCTCCTCCTAACCACCTTCTTCCCATAGATTATCTCCGCGGCACAAGTCAAGGCTGACACAAGGGCCCTGGGTGAACAAATGAAACCACTGCTGATGGCTAAATTCTCCTCCTTCCTGAAAAGGTATGTCTCTTCAGGGGTGGGGCACTGGGGGTCCTGGGGCTGGGCTCACCCCCTCTCTGCCCAATCCCTGGGGGCACAAGAGAAAAGAAAAGGACTCAAGGCCTGGATCCCTACAATTCTGAAATTCTAGCCTTTGCCAGTCATTTGCTTTGTAATTTGGAAACCAGTTTCTTTCCCCCTCTGGGCCCCAGCTTCCCCATCTCTAAGATTAGGATATTGACCCCACAGCTACCAACAAGCCTTTGCAGACTTCACGGAGAAAAGCAAACCGAAGCATTACAGAGCCACCATCATGGCCAACATCAACAACTGCCTGACTTTCAGGTAAGCCCAAGAAATAGGAGGGTGAACCACTTTAGGGGAACTTGCATTCTGTCACTGAAGCAGTCTTTCCTGAGCTTTCTCCTGCTTCTCCACCCCATGTGCTCTGCCCTGTGCTTGGTTCAGATGTTGAGAAGATAAGAGGAGGAGCAGACTAGTGCCTCAGGGAGTTTCCTGTTTCACTGGAGAAGTGCAAAAAATAGCACAGAATTCAGCAGTAGACAGGATCTCAGATACCATCGAGTTCAACTCCCTCATTTTACAGAAGAGAAAACTGAGGCTCAGGGAGATGTGACATCTGAAGTCACATAGTGGCAGAGTAAGTACCAGAACCCTGTGTAGGGCTTAGGTGATCAATCAATCAAAACACATTTATTAAGTGCCTACTACATGCCAGGCACCACGCTAAGTGCTTGGGATACAAGGAGAGGTAAAAGTCAAATCTCTGTCCTCAAGGAACTTACAATCTAATGGGATGTAGAAAGCCCTAAAGTTACTAAGTATGGTGTGGTAGAGAATTCAGAGATGGGTAAAGTATCTAAGTATCATAAAATCCACAAGTGGAAGAAGCCCTATAAAAAGGATCAGTGTAATAAAGAATTCAGATGTTAAGCAAGTTTTAGTATGCATCATAAAATCCACCAAGAGGTGATTGGTAAGGCAAAGAGTTCAACCAGAAAACTCATCTCACCAGTCACCAGCATATCCACTCTGTCTTTTCCTGATGGGGAAAGAGGAGGGTCAGTATGGACTGAAGTAGTCAGGGAAGGCTCCCTGAAAGAGGGATTTGAGTTGGTCCTTGAAGAATGAGAATGAACATTTTGAGAAGGGGAAATTAGAGGAAGGCCAGTGTAAATAAAGGCATAGGATATTTGCTGGTGAGCTTGCCCTGGCCTGACCACAGAGTTTCCATAAAGGGAGCAAAGGAAAATGAGTCTAGAAACACAGGCTGGGGTGAGATCATGGACAGATACCAAGATAAGGGTCTTGGACTTCAGTTCCCAAGGGGATAGTTCCCCTGGGAAGCTTGTTCTCAGCTTCTCAGAAAAGCCTCTCTTTCTGTGGGTCGGCAAGAATCACAGTGCAGTAAAAAAAAACCACTGAACTTGACAGAAGACCACGGTTTGAGTACTTACTGCCACTGACTGACTCTCTGTGTAATCTTAGAGAAATCTCTTTCCTTCTCTGGGTCTCCTTTTCTTCCTTTATAAAATAAGAAATATAATGTTCCAAGACCTGTGGTCTTTTAGAGTAACTTTATTATATATTTACAAGGAATAGCAAGTTATACATAATAGATTTGCAGTTTCATGTGCAATCATCTTTTTTTTATCATACTGTTATGGAAATGCTTGTTTTATTCTATAAATTAAAAATAAAATAAATTCTTAAAAAGATTAGCATCAGAAATAAAAATAAAATAAGAGGGTTAGCTTAATCAAGGGTTTCAGTGTGGTCTGTTCTGGGCTTGGGTCAGTAGCTACAGCAGCCTCCCTCTCCTCCTTTCAGGACCTACACTGACAAGGAGTCAAAGGCTATGGAGAAAGATCTCTCCAGCTACATCTTCCACCCCCTGCGTGAAATCGAGCAAAGTGGTTTCAACATTCTTCTCCAAAACCTATTCCTGGCACTAAAGGTAATAGAACTCATAGCTTGGAGGAAGAGGGGGTGAGGCAAAGGAGAACTGGGGAGGGGGGCAGTCAGGTGCCCTAAGATGTTTTTGCCCTTCTCTGAGAAGTCACAAAGACCACACAGAGCCACAAGGTTGGGAAAATCCTGGCCAACTTGAGGCTGTCTTCACCTCACCCTTCTCCTTCCCAGCCTCTGGACTTCCCTGTGTTGCCACATTCCCAGAGAGTGTATTTCCTGTACTCCCCTACAGTGCCCCACCCCTCACCCACTTCCAGATATATCCTATATATCTTTGTTTCTGAGAAATGCTGAAAATCCTACCTTTCCCCTGCCTCCCAGTAATGTTTGTTTTAAAACTTGCCCTGGGACAGGCAGAAGCCTGTACTGGGTAATGAAAGCTTAATTCTGAGCAACAGTTCTCACATTTTTTGGTCTCAGGACTCCTACTACACACTTAAAAATTATTGAGGACTCCTCCCCCTCACAAAAGAGTTTTTCCTTACATGGGCCATAATTATTGATATTTTGTTGTTCAGTCGTTTTTTCAATCCTTTCTGACTTTTGTGACTCCTTTTTGGGAGATTTTCTTGACAAAGATACTGAAGTGATTTGCCGTTTCCTTCTCCAGCTCACTTTACAGATGAGGAAATTGAGGCAAACAGGGTTAAGTGACTTGCCCAGTGTCACACAGCTAGTAAGTGTCTGAGGGTCAGATACGAACTTAGGTCTTCCTGGCTTCAGGCCTGGCACTCTATCCACTGTGCTAACTAGCTGCCCTTCTATCCATATTTGCCATCTTAGAAATTACAATATCTTTGTATTATTCTGAAAATGGTTTTCATCTTGATGATGCCTGAAAGGGTCTCAGGGACCACCAAGGGTTCCTTGGATCACACTCTGAGAAACACTAGTTTAGAAACACAACTCTCCTAGAGGTGTTCCAGAGATGGCTAGAGGGCCTTGAGCACTGAGTCTTAGCACCCTCCATTCTCCCAGATAGGGAGCCGCAATCTCCCTGAAGAAAATGTCTCCCCCAATCTCTACCACACAAAACATAAGAGTTTCTTGTCCTGTGCTTGAAGCTTCTGTGATGGAGTCAGGGAGGAAGGAGAGAGGCATGGGGGTGGGGGAAGGTAAAGAGGGAAGGACTGAAATTCTAGTTCCTCCAGATTGTGATTGGAATGTGAACCTGGAAATGGAGGTCATGTCCTAACTGATTGACAGCCCCCACCCACTCCTCATCAGCCATATCTGTGGGCTGTGTGCGTATGTGTGTTCATTTTGGGGGGAAGCCAGGGGCTGTGCATCTTTAAGCTAAACAAAACCATTCCTTCTCCAGTCTCTGTTCAAGAGGCTGACGCAGACCCGTTGGGCCACCCACGAGGAAACTGTGGCAGAAATCATTAAGATCACCAGTGACTGTCTGCCAGAATTCAAGGCCCTAAGAAAACGGTACCAAGAGGTAAGGAGGATGCAGCTGTAACAGGAAGCCTGCTTGACAATCCTACTCCACCCCTTCCCCACCTTCACTCTGCCCATATGACCTGTGTGAACAGTGCATGTCCCTTGAGAGGAGAAAGGGATGGACCCAAGGACTTCTTTATGACCTCTAACCCTAGAAATCTCTATAGTAACCCCTCCTCTCCAACACAAACCTGTTTCATCTCATAGGGGATGTTATAGGGAGGTAGATTTTTTTTTAGTTGAATCTAATAATAACTAGCATGTATGTAGATTTAAGATTTTGAAAACACTTTAAAATTTTTATCATATTTTATCCTTACAACCCTTTTACAGATGAAGAAACTGAGGGAGCAGAAGTTATGTGACTTGCCCAGGGTCCTACAGCTAATAAGACTCTAAGGCCATATTTGAACTCAGATCTTCCTCACTCCAGGGCCAGTATTCTGTTCACCGCACTACCTTAATGCCTCTAATCTGATCTCTAATCTAAGGGAAAACCTGTGCCCTAAAGTAGAATGAATAACTTCCTGCCCTTGAACATGCCCTAAGGGTCAAATTAGATAATATAGAATCATAGAATCTCAGGGCATTTAGTCCAACCAGTATCTGAGTGACATCCCAGATAAGTCATGATCCAGACTTCCCGCTTCCTTCCTTCCTTCCTTCCTTTCCAGGAGCCTCAGCACTTCCTCCAACTCAGTGCCCCATATTTGTACATGCTCCCAGTCCCCAGATCTGCTGCCCTCATGCTGACCCAGCTGTTCTGTCCCCCTGATTTCAGGACATCATGGAAGCTATCCACCTATACTTGGTGAAGGAATACATCATCCGGCTCAGTAAAAGGCGGCTAGTGCTGAGGACTGCTGACCTTCAGCTAAACCTGGCCGACCAGATCTCAGCAGATGCCAAAAACATCCAGTGCTTCTGTGCCCAGAATGTAAGGGGAAAGCTTTTTGTAAAATGAAAGCAGACTCTGAGGAGTTTCTGAGGGGAAAAGAGCAGGATTAAGTCATTTTCTGTTGGGCCCTCAATGACCTAGTTAAGGGATTCAGTGTGGGGCCAGGGTGATTTGCCCCAACGTGGAATGGAAGACTTGTGGCATAAGTGACCAGGTTTTTTTCTCCTTCAGGGATCTCCTGCAGCCTGGTTAGAACCAGCCCTCCCTACGCTGGCAGAAATCATTCGTCTCCAGGATACTAGTGCCATCAAGATTGAGGTGGCGACATTTGCTAGTAGGTTCCCTGACTTCAGGTGAGTGTAAGGGAAGAAGGAAGTTAAAACTCGTGCCAGATCTTGTACCCATTATGCAGATGAGAAAACTGAGGTCATAGCTGCAGAAACTCTTAGAGGTCATCTGGTTCAACCCTTTCATGGTACGATAAAAAAACCTAGGCCCAGTGACTCACAAAAGGTCACACAGATAATGTCAGAAGTGGAATCTGAATTCAGGTCACACCTCTTATCTCAAACATTCCAGCTACTTCCAAAACTCTGCCTTATTTTTTAAACTGCCTATTAAAACAAATGCCAAATGAAAAAGGGTTTAGAAGGAAAGAGAAAAGGTGACTTCCCTTTTTTCCAATGTTGAAAATGCTTCTCATTGCTACCAATGCCTAGGATCTTAGGTCTATTCTATCCACCAATCCCTCTCACTAGAAGTGTGATTTCCAAAGTCACAGTCAATCAGTGGCATTAAGTGGGATCAGGAAAAGGCTCCTTGCAGAAGAGTCAGGATTTTAGCTGGGACTTGAAGCCAGGGAATCCATAAAGTGGAGATGAGAAAAAAAGTATTCCCGACATGGGAATAGCCAACAGAAAAGCACCAAATCTGGATATGAAGTGATTTGTTTGAGGAATAGTCCCTGGGGGGCAGCTACGTGGCAAAGTAGATAGAGCACCAGCCCTGAAATCAGGAGGACCTGAATTCAAACCTGGCCTCAGACATTACTAGCAGGGTGACCCTGGGCAAATCACTTAACCTTGATTACCTCCAAAAGAAAAAAAAGGAAGTAGTGTCTGATGTCCAGTGCTCTTTCTTGGGGGTAGTACTACTGCTTTTTGTTCCTGAGGGCCAATATTCAGGTACTGGGGTGGAGGCCAGGGAATAAGGAGCCTCTCTGTCTTGGATAATAATCCTAGCCTTACTGTCATTCGTGTGTCATTTTACACTTTTCAGAGGGGCTTTTGCTCCCATAATCGCATGTCCTCCCAGCAGCTCTGAAAAAGTGTAGGGCAGGGATCTATTACTTCTCCCTTCTGAGTCATTTCCTGGCATTGCAGGCCCTTGATCCCCTGGCTTCAGCTTAAGCCTCCCCAGGCTTCTTTCCCACTGCTCCACATCCCTTGCTGCTATGTTGTCCCTCCCTTGACTGGCAGCAAGCTGCTCCCCAGCCTGGAAGGCAGGTCTTCCATGATTCTTCTTTCAGTCCTTTTCTTCTCCATGAAGTCTACCCCCTCTTCCATCCCCGACCTCCCCAGCCAAATGGGACCTTCTCTACTCTCCAGTTTCTCACTGAGCTTCACCCAGAGTGCTCTGTGCGCTCCCATCACCATCTTGTGTATCAGAGTTATTTGTGTATGAGTTCTTCCTCCCTGGGAGTGGGGGCTCCTCAAGGCAGAGAATGTGTCGTTTCTCTCTTAGTATCTTCACTGCTGGACACAGGGCTTCTCAGGGAGAGGGTTCTTAAAGCAAATATTTGTGGAATCGAATTGAATATGTAAAGTGAAGGGGTTGAGTTGATAGTCTCCAAAGACTCTTCCAGCTCTGACAATTTGTAGTCTGAGTTTTCTAAGGCTTCTTCCAGTCCCAACTTTCTGTGACTCTCTTATTGTATCTTTCTTTAAAATGTGTGGGAAACTACACTCCAGGATGCCTCTTCTGGAGACACGGACACAGACATACACACACACACACACACACACACACACACACACACACACAGCCTCTGAGGCAGGAGTAAGCACTCTATGGGAAAGGGAGAAATTCAACACTGGGGAAAAAATGAGAGAACCAACACAGTTAGTTCCTACCCTCCAGGAGTTAGCGGGAAGGGGAAGGGGGTGGCGGGGAGGAGGGAAGATCATAGAATTATAGCTTGAGAGCTAGAGATCAAGGAGTTCACCCTTTCTCATTTTACCCATAAGGAGATGTTGAGCGACTTGCCCAGAGTCATACAAGTAGTAAGTATCTGAGGCAGGATTTGAACTCGGGTCTTCATGACTGTATCACAATGCCTTTAAAGTGAGAGAGCATATGATGCATACTTTCTTATTTATCCAACAAGTACAGCAATGCTATATAGTTAATTGCAATTAACTATAGCATAGCAATAATGCCATAGTTATAGTAAAATAATGTAACAAGCTCACAAGCCGAGGACAGAGTATGTGGGATAGGAGAAAGAACCCTAGGCCAGACAACATGAATCCTAGACTCAGCTATGTCACTGACTCTGTGTGACCTTGGGTACAGTGTTAACAATTTATGGTTCTCTTTAAGTTCTAATTCAGTAAATATTTATTGAGCATCTACTGTATGCAGAGTAAGCAAAGGAAATACAAGGCTTAGATTAATCAATCAATAAGCATTTATTAAGCATCTACTATGTACCAAGCACTGTGCCAGGCACTAGGGATATGAATACAATGAATGAAACAATTCCTTCCCTATCTTTTAGGAGAGACAGCATGTACATATACTAGTATATACAAAATGTAGATTCAAAGTAAACATATGGTAATTTCAGCAGCAAGGAAGCATTGGGGTATTAGGGAAGACTTGACGTAGGAGGTCATGCTTAGGTTTTGAAGGAAGTTAGGGCTTCCAAAGAGTAGAGATGAGGAGATAGGTCTGATTGTAGGGGTAAGATATAGTTCCTACTGTATTGGAGCTCTGATATAGACTTGCCTCATGGAGGAGATTAAGGGTTAGCAGAGGTGTAGTAGAAAAAAAATTATGCCTGTCTTTGAATCCCAGCTGTTTCACTTAGCAGTTATGTCTCCCAGAGCTAGTCTCCTTCTCTCTGGGCCTCAGTTTTCTCATCTATATAATATAACAACCTCTAAAATCCCTTCTAGCTCTGACACTCTGTGATTGTAGGTTGGCAAGGTGAGGTTGAGGGCCAGAAAGGAGAAGGACCCAAGGAGGACCCTGAATGCCATATAGCATTCCCCTTATCTTGGTGTTCTCTTTTCTTACAGCAAAGGACATTTGGGAGCCATCCTTACCATCAAGGGAAACCTGAGCAACAGTGAAATCAAAAGCATAAAAAGCATCTTGGACGTTAGCACTTTGTTGACAGATTCCTCCAGGTCCTTATTTTCACTCATAAAGGTTGGTTAGCTTTTTGACACGGCCTGAACTGGCCTGGCCCTCTTGCTGCACCCGTGGCTCTGACAACTCCACCCAGTCTCTTGCATGCTTATGGTCCCCTTCTCCCACCCCTGCCTCATGGTACAGCAGACTCTCAAGCAGAAGTTGGCTGGTGGCCCAGAAGATGGTCATGTGCCTGAAGGTTACAGAGACGGAGGCTCCCCGGGGTGTCTGCCCCCCCAGGCCTCCCAGGGAAAAACCCACGGCCTGATATCCAAAACCCAAAAGAGAGCGTTTCAGACCATGCCCTTGGAATCGAGTCAGTCGCGACAGGGCAGGAGCCCAGGAGAGACTGGGATTCACTTCACCTCTCAAGATCTCAATCTCTCCTTCTGTTAAATGAGGAGGCTAGACTAGATGATCTCCAAGGTACCTTTCAGGCCTGATCTTCTCTGGCTCTAAGTCACTTCACATGTCTGGTCCTCGATTAAGATCTGTCCCAGCTCTGATATTCTGTGTTCTGTAACTCTAAGACTCACTATGTTCTGTTCCACCTCTGGCGTTCATTAAATTTTATGATCTTGTGAGGCTAAGACCAAGACAGGAGAGATGGCTTCATCAAATTTCACAACCAGAAGATGTCTGAGCTAAGACTAGACTCCAGGTCTCTTGCCTTCCAGCCTTGGGCTTTCTCCCCTGCTCTCCACAGTCAGATCATTGAAGTCCAAAGTCAGGTAGGAAAGCTCGCAGGGGAAAGCTGCCCCTCTTCTACCCTGGCTGCTGCCCTTCCTGCCAGCCCCTCTTGTCTAAGGGCTCTCTCTGCTCCCCTGCTCCTCTCTCCAGGACCCTCCTCATTCCCATGGAATGGTCCACAGCAGGTTTGGCATGGACCAGGGCTGGACCAAGACCCTCTTGAGCCTGACTCTGACCTCCCGCCCCCTGGGAGCAGCCTGCTGAGTGGGGTCAGCAGGATTGGAAATGGAAACCCTTCCTACGCTGGGGGACCATGTCTGAGGAGCTCTTAGTGGAAAGGTCCAGTCTTTTCTTCCGGACCTCTACCTGAACCTCTTGGAGACCATATATGTGTTCTCACTCCCTCTTAGAGGAAGCCTTCTAGAGCTGTGCTTTCTGGTACCTTCACAGACACGAATGTATACACGCTTGGACTGTAATTATCCCTTCTCTATCCCTCCAGGAAGCCAGAAGGGTTGGCTCTGAAAAGTGTCTCTAGACTAGCTCTCAGGACTCTCTTTCCCTTTCCACTGAAATCTCTTAGTGACCAGTATTGCCATGTGTGGGGCATGGGCCCAGGGTTGCTCTGTCTGCCTTTTGGGTCTGGGGTCTCAGGCTAATGTAAATTGTGTATATTGTAGAGAACTTTTTATCTGTATGTTTTCATATCTGAGATTTGTACCTGAGTTTTTATAGTTTGATATTAAAAGTTCTGTTGAACAATCTCAAGTGGACTGTCTTCATTCTATATCTCATCTTCATTTCTGTACCAGTAAAATAATAATTATTCCTATACCTAAGATAACAAATTATTATTTGAATAAATAATGTTTTAGAAGTTTCTTATTTATAAAGCATTCAACCTTCTGAGACACAAAGCTCATCTCCATTTACAGATGAGGAGGGAACCACGGCTCATATAAGTGATCTTGCCCAGGGTTACACAGCTAAGTGGGAGAGCTCAGTTTCAAACCCAGATCATCAGACTCCAAGGCTAGTACACTTTGCAACTATACCACAGAGAGGGAGAACAGGGAAGAAGCTTAGAGATCCAACACACTCATTTTGCAAATTGATATCATATTGCTTGCTTTCTCAGTGGTTGGGGAATGACCTAAATGGGGGAGGGGGTAAAGAATTTGGCTCTCAGAATTTAAAAAGAAGAAGAAGAATGCTAAAAACAAATTATAAAATTTACAAAATAAAGTACAAATGAGGAAATATGGTCAGAGAGGGGAAGTGACTTAGGGTCACAGGATTTAGAAGTAAAAGAGACTTTAGAAATCATGCAGTTAGATGACTTACTTTGCAGAGTCCCAGAGAGGGGAAGGAACTTTCCAAGACCACAAAGAGAGATGGTTGACAGACAGGCTCAATCTCCTGACCCCCTTCTTCATGGGACTGTAACCATGACTCCCACACTGCTTTGCCTGTTTATACACACAGTGTGCTCAACTCTGACTACAGATCACCCTTCATATGCCTCCTCAGGGATAGAAAACTTCCCAGGCCTGAAGCTAGCCTCCAGATAGTTGTACAAAAACAGAAGTGGCATCTCTAAGCTTGCAGCTGCAAAGTCCTGTTTAGTCCTCAGAGATTTGGACAACTCACTCCCTGTCTCTCTGAGTTCCCTCGAATTTTCTTGTTCTCCCTTCCTGTGTGGGGAACTGGAATCACAAAGCAGAGCCCGACCTTGGGACTGAGTCATGAATACTCACACTCTCCCTAAGGTTCCCTTGTGAAAAGGGTGTGTATATATACATGGAAACGGTGAAAAGGGAAGTAAGAAAGTGGGCTCAGGGATAAGTCTGAAGTTGAATCAGAATTCAAGCTGTGAATAGAGTTGTGAATCAGCCTGGAGTCAGGACAGGGGCTTGGTCTGGAAGCTGGACCTGATCTCAGTCTGGGGTCTAGGTCAGGGTTCTGCTGGTGACTGGGCTCAGGAACTGGTCTCAATCCGTGATCAGGGCCCAATTGCAGCCCAGTCTAGGACTGAGGTCAGGATTCAAACAATAAAGGAGATTAGGGTTCAGAGTTCTGGCTGTAGTCAAGACTGGGTCATAATCTGGACCTAGGCTTCATCCTGGTGTTCTGCCTGTGCCTGGAATCAGGAGTGTACCTACACCAGCTACTGGGGTAAAATAAAGACTATTTGACAAAAAACTACTTATAAAACTAGAAAGCAGTCTGGCAGAAATTAGGTTTAGCCAAACATCTACCATCTACCAAAATAAACTCCATATAGACAAATCTTTGGATATAAATCTTTGGATAAAAAATAAATTAGCAAGTAAGCAAGTAAGAAATTTCCTATCAGATCTATGGATGGGGGAGGAGTTCATGACCAAGCATATGATAAGAGAGGATCACAGAAGATAAAACAAACAATTATGATTATATACATAAAATTAAATTTTTGCACGAACAATGAATACACCTAAAATTAGATGAAAAACGGAAGAAGAAAATATTTGTACTAAGTTTCTCTGATAAAGGCCTCATTTCCAAGATATATAAGGAACTGATTCAAATTTATAAGAATAAGACCCATTCCCCAATTCCTCAACTGATAAGTTGCCAAAGGATATAAACAGGTAGTTTTTAAAGGATGAAATACAAACTATCAACATCTTTATAAAAAATGCTCCAAATCACAAATAATTATAGAAATGCAGCTTTGAGGTTCTATCTCACACCTGTCAGATTGGCAAAGATTTCTAACAGGGAAAATGAAAAATATTGGAGGGCTGTGAGAAAATAAGCCAATTAATGCATTGTTGATGGAGCTGTGAATTGATCTAGTTATTCTGGAAAGTAATTTGGAAGTATGCTCCAAAAGCCACCAAATTGTGCATACCCTTTGTGACCTAGAGCAACAGTTGTCCAAGTGTAGTCGTTGGACCCCTGGAGGTCCTCAAGACCTTTCGTGGGGTTTGCAAGGTCAAAACTATTTTCAGAGTAATACTAAGACATTACTCCTCTAGTAAAACATTCCTCCCTTTTCCAACTAAATAGCTATGTGAGGCCAGATTTTTTTCATATTCTTCAAACAAAACAACATTGTAACAGATGGAATGCAGAAGTAGATATGAGGATCCAGCTGTCTTTTATTATTCTAAACACTAAAGAGATTTTCAAAAATATGTAAAACAATGTCACTGACTTACCTTTGAGAGAAAATACAGTTATTTTCATTAAAATATTTTATTTATATTAACATGTGATATGTGTTATTATTTTAAATGAATTAATATTTTAAAATTTTATCAGTTTTAATTTCAAACACATTTAATATCAATTGATAATCCATGTAAACAAACATAATAATTATCAATTGCTAACCTACATAAAAAAGTTCTTTGGGGTCCTCAGTAATTTTAGGAGTATCATGGGTTCCTGAGACCAAAAAGTTTTTAAGAACCTACTGACCTGGAGATAACACTAATGCACCTATACCCTAAAGAGATACATACAAAAATATTTATGGCAGGTCTTTCTGTAGTCGCAAAGAACTGGAAACCAAAGGGCTAGCTATACATTGGGTATTGGCTGAACAAATTATTGTATATTAATGTAATAGAATACTATTATAACGTAAGAAATGGTGAGAGTCTGTTTCAGAGAACCTGGGAGAATTGTACAAACTGATGCCAAGTGAAATGAGCAGAACCAGGGGAATAATTTCTATAACAGCAACAGTATAAAGGTAAACAGCTTTGAAAGACCAAAGAACTCTGATCAGTGCAAGGACCAGCCATGATTCTAGAGGACAGAGGAGGAAGCATGCTACCCTCCTTCTGACTGAGAAGTAATAGACTTAAGATACAGAATGAGACATACCTTGTTAGTCATGGTCAGTGTGGGAATTTGTTTTGCTTGACTTCCTATATTTGATACAACAATTTTTTTTCTTCTTTTTTTTTTTTAAAAAAATGTGGAAGAGTGGAAGGGAGATAAGTTTTGCTATCTGAAAAATAAAATAAAATGTTACATTTTTTAAAAAGGAGTCTTTTAAAGGTAGGGAAAGGGCTCAGTCTGGGGCCTTAATCCAGGCTGGGGATCAGGACTTGAAATAGTCAGGATGAGGTCCCAGTCTAGACCTGCATTCAAGGCTCTTCCTTTGTCCATGGTCAGTTTAAGGCTAATATTTGGTGTTCTCTCTCAGGCCGTAATTATGGGCTCCTCTGTAACAGATCAGTTACAGGTTACGCGTCAGTTTAAGCCAGTGTCAGGGCTCGGCCAGGGACTCAAAAGACAGGAAAGAATAAGCATTTATTAAGCAACTACTATGTGCCAGGCACTGTGCCATTTTACAAATATTATTTTATTTGATCTTCACAATCCTAAGAGGTAGTACTGTTATTATCCTTATTTTACAGGTGAGGAAACTAAGGCAGACAGAGGTTAAGTGACTTGCCTAAGGTCACACATATAATATGTGTCTGTGGCCAGATTTAAACTCAGGTCTTCCTGACTCCAGGTCCAGAACTCTATTCACTGCCCCAACAAGTTACCTCAACATCTCAGATTAGAGTCAGAATTCAGTTTGGGCTCAATGTGCAAATTCAGTTTTAACTTCTATCCTAGGCCTAGTCTAAGTTACGTCAGTCTTGGCTGGGCTCAAGGTTCAGTCTAGACCTGAGATCGGAGGCATGGTCAAGGCTCATTCTAGGACCCAGGTTGATATTAAGCTCAGATTATATATTGGAGCTGGGGCCAGTGGCCAGGATCAAAGCTCCTCTATGACTGTGATCAGTGGTCAGTCTTGGGTCAGAGATCACTTGGGGACTATTTTGGAGGCTCCATCTAGAATCAGGATGGGGGCGTTCTCTCTGGAGCTGAGGTCTGGCCTCAGTGTGAGGTTTAGGTCATGGCTCTTCTGTGAGGTGTGGAATATGGTAACAGTGAAGGAAACAGATCCCCTCAGCCAGAGAAAGGCCTTGAAGAGGAGGGAACAGAGCATTTTCCCAGAAGGGTCCTGGACAGCCTTGCTTAGGGATCCCTGAACACCAAAGTAGATGGAGCCCCCAAGGAAAGAAAGAGAGAAGGAATAAAGAAGCTTTTTCTAAGGAAAAGTCTTAGAACTTGTAGTCCATCCTGGACACAGAAGGCATTTCCCAGGTTTAACCACTCCAGCCTGTAGAACTATAATTGTCTTATATGAATGACTCCTATCCCATCCCCCTCCCCAGACAACTTGGAGTGATTGTCAGACTTGGACAGCAGCTGTGAGATCACCAAGCCATCCTGATGATTTTTATAGAGGACAAAATTGAGGATCTGAGAAAGGAAACACTTGCCCAAAATCATATAGTGACCCAAATCTCCTAATCCCCAGGCCTGAACCCTTGCCACTGCACTGTGCTGACTTGCTCATGCTCTTCTATCTCATTCTACTCTGCCTCCATTTACCCTGTTGTCTGGACTCTACCATTGATCAGCTGTGATCTGGGGCAAGTCACCTTCTCACAGTTTCTCCATCCGTAAAACAAGGGGGTTGGAACAGACAGTTTAAAAAGTCCCTTTCAGCTCTGGCATTCAATGGATTCCTCTACCTGACCGTCACCTCTATCCAGGTAAGCGCTGGCTGTAACTGCCTTGAAAGCCAATTGTTAGATTTTTCAGCGTAAACATCTACACTTCAGAAATCAGCAAAGGCTACAAATTAGGGCTTGATTTATTGTTTTGTTGATTGTCTAGATAAGGGGTAGGGAACCTGCAGCC